TTTGTCTCTTAGCTAGACTGTGAGCTTGTTCAAGACTGAGACTGATAACTTCATTAGCACAATTCTTGACACATTTCACATAGTAAGCCCTCAGATCTGTTTGTCGAAAAGTGAAGGGTGACCAGTCAGGAGACTAATAAAACTAGTCCAGGGTTTCAACTAAGATGAGAATAGGAAGAATGGCAAAAACAGACAGATGTGAAAGCCACTGTGAAAGAAGGATAGACCTTGATGGATGTGCAGAACAAAGGAAGAGAAAGTAACTGAGAAGTCAGTTTTAAATACAGCACTTTAAAATAAGCTGCTAGAAGTTTGCGTGAGACGCTAAGACTGGAGATAGATTTAAATCAGCCAACATTTATTTGTTATCAGGAAGGACCACTCTGCCGTGGGATGTATTCATGTTCCCTGGGAACAGGATTCCATGCCTGGCCCAGCATTTGCCAACATCATAGTCAGTAAAAGGAGCCATAGTGGTACAGTGGTTAAGCGCTCGGCTGCTAACCAAAAAGTCAGCAGTTTGAACCCACCAGCCGCTGTGAGTAAGAAAGATGTGGCAGTCTGCTTATGTAAAGATTACAGCCTTGAAGGAGCCCTGGTGGTGCAGTGGTTAAGAGATACAGCTGGTAACCAAAAGGTCAGCAGTTCGAATCCACCAGCCACTCCTTAGAAACCCTATGGGGCAGCTCTGCTCTGTCCTACAGGGTCGCTATGTGTCAGAATCAACTTGACAGCACAGGGTTTTTGTTTTTTTATAACTTTGAAAACCGTATGGGGCAGTTGCACTCTTTCCTATGGAATCACTATGAGTTGGAATTGACTTGATGGTAATGGGCTTTTATAGTCAATAAAAGGTTTCAGAGTACATTTCTCTCCAGAGGCCTTGCTGAAGGAAGTCTATAAAAGATTAAATATCTTCTTCCTGGTCGCACAGTGGTTAAGTTTGCTAACCAGAAAAGGTCGGCAGTTCGAATCCACCAGGCCCTCCTTGGAAACTCGATGAGAGCGGTTCCACTCTGTCCTGTAGGGTCACTATGAGTCAGAATTGACTCCACGGCAAGGGATTTGGTTTTTTTTGTTGTTGTTGTTTCCTTTGAATATGGTCTATTTTTTATTCTTTCCTATTTATCTTTACATTTTTTTAACATATAGAATATAGATACTTATATGTAAATATATATTTATTTTCAAGGTTCATTTATAAAGTGACTTAGTTTTATTTCCCTGACAGTTTAAAAACCTCTGGGCATTTTTGGCCTAGTCTCTTAGTCCTTCTGTTCTCTAATTGCTGTTCATCCCACCTGGATCAGGAGCCACTTTCTCTGTCCTCTCTGAAGTTGTTGGCTAGATTATCTCAAGGTTGGGGCTTCACAAATTATTTTTCTGTGATTATTCTGATATCCTACATTTGGCTTTGAAATTCTTTGTTTAAATGTTTAGAATGTCATACCTTAGGAATTTATAACTAGTCCAAACTAAATAATGAAGGAGAAGTATACTGGGAAAACCCAGCCCACTTAGTGCTTCTATTCTTCTCCCAGATTAATTTTCCTCTCTCTCCTGCTTCATTCTGAGGCTAGCTTTTTTTTTTTTAAATTGGGGTGGGGGATGTCAGGCTGATACATAGAGCGTTAGTATAAGATAACTTGTCTGTTTAAAAAAATATATGCTGCGTAATTCTTGTTAGAATCAAGGGAAAATAAAATGTCTTGGTTAAATGTTTTAGATCTGTGTTCAAAAAAATTTTAAGTAGTATTACTTTTGAGATATACATGTTTCATATTCTTTCTTGCTAAATCTTAATTTCCATCTCTTCTTGTCCCGTATAACATTTGCTATGAATGAGAGCCTAGAGAGGATGGTCAGTTATCAAAGCAGATGTAAGCCCATGATGTGTGCTTGAAAAAAGCTGAAGCATTGTTTCTACCAAAGGTTCAAAGTTAAATTTTATATGTAATGTAAAATGAAGTATGATTTTACTTATTTTAAACGAGTTTTTAAAAATTTTCAATGACCAATTTGACTTAATATGTATAGCATAAGTAGTAACTTCAATAGAGTATTGATTGACATATCATCTTTGAAATTGATACCCTTTCATATGCAACATCCATTCATTAGTGATTTCTGTCAGCTTTCCCTCAGAATAGATCCTTTATCCAACCACTTCTCACCACTTCTCCCACTACCACCATAGTCTGAGTCACTATGATCTCTCATCTAAATTACTGTACCTATTTTACTGTACCTATTTTTATCCTTTCCTATTTTTGTATTTTTTATATGTTATATAGCCTTCTAATCTGTTTCCTTGTTCTGCTTTTGTCCCCTCTAGATAGTACATTCTTCACAGAGTAGCTAGAATCATTTTTTTAAAAAATATATGTTAAAATTATGTCACTCTTCAACTGCTCCCACACCCGCTATTGACTTCACATCTTGCACAGAATAAAATCCAGTCTTTCCTCAGGCCTGTAAGACACTACATGACTTGGCTCTCACCAGTGTCTCTGGCTTCAGTTCCTACCATTCTCCACGTAGCTTATGCTGCTTGAGCCATACCACTGAGGGTCTTTGTGTTCCCTGTGTACTGAGTCTCTTCCTCCAAGGTTTTGCCTAATTGGTTCCCTTACTTCTCTGCTTGTTATTATCTCCCCAGTTATAGCTCTCTGGCTATTTTAAAATGCCCTCCTACTCCATTCCATTATTCTATATGGAATAACGGATAGACCTTTAAAATTAAATAAACCTGGCTTTATGAAAAACTTCCTACATTGTCATTTTCCTGATTTTGACATGGATCAGAGAATTCTTTGTCTCATTCTAGTACCCATCCTTGGACTATGACTTGCATTTGGGGAGAGATTACACTCTTACGTCTCTTCTTTGCTTAAATCATGTAAAAATAATTAGTATTTTCACTGATGTGTAAATGATTTCATTATTTAGTTTCTGTGGTGAAGCACACAAACCAAAGGTGAAGTTGTACATATTTGTTGCGCTCTCTCTCTCTCTCACACACACACACACACACACAAACTGTACAAACTGTGAGTCTTGGGAAAATCTGGTTTGATAGAAGAAGAACATTCTGTGTTTTCCTTTGTCCTCAGGCATTTCATATGCTTAGTTTCACTTTCAAAACTCTAAAACATCTTTGCGAGGTATTAAGCACGAGCCTTTTTTTTCCCTATACAGTTACTTTCAATTTTAGAATTCTTGTTTATAATTGATTTTGATGATAATGTTATAGAAGAATTGTCAAAGAACTTACTTTGTATTCATTTGAGTTGATTTATGTGTGTAAAATCTGATGATAGATGGCTCTAGTAGTCACTTGAAATTTTATTGAATTATGTAAGTTTCATGCCATTTTTCCTCATTTGTTCTTTGTTAGAACTCACTAGTAAAGGGATATAAAGGGAATTAAATATATCCTTAAATTTTGTAAAACAAACTTAAAATATCATATGTAACAAGCCTTAATTTACAGATTGTAAAATGCTTTTTTGCCACTGTTTCTTTTCTGAAATATAACTCATTTTAAAAAAACAAACTTTTTTTTCCTATTAGAGACTACTTTGGGGGTTGGTGAATAGGCATGTAGGATGGTAGCCCCTGAAATTATATTCAGAATTAAAGAATAGCTTTCATAAAATTCACCAGGGAGTCTACTGCGTAAGCAAGATTAAGTTCCTATATTTTACTAAATTAATAGACTATTTAAAAGTATCTTTCTGTATTTCAAACCTACAGAGATTACTAGTCCAAAGATACAAAGCAAAATAATGGTTTAACTGTCCTCAGACTGTTGTTCATATCTAACTTAATAGCTTTTTCTCAGACTTCAACAGGAGGAATAGTTAAATACTTGAGTTTTCTACAAATTTAACAGAATTTAAGATATAAAACATTTAATAGCATGGTGCTTTCAACAAACTTGCATATAATATTTGGCCTTTAAAATCTGCAACATATCTGTTCACCATAGCTGCTGATAAACAGTAATAACTACAGTGTTTCATTTTGAAGTGATATATAAAGGAATTCACTACTTACTTACAGTTGAAGAAAGCATCGTTAGTCATGAGTATACAAGACAGATACAAATGTGAGAGGAAATTTTCCCCAAAATTGTGCCTGAGAAAAACGTTAGTCACCTTGTATTCAAGCCCTTGAAAATCTTTCATATTACAGGTATTTCATTTTACTTTGAATTACACAGTAGTGTTAAGGGGAGGAAGACACATTAACCTTAAATAACCTTAGTCAGTTGCTAGTTTTGAAAACTTTAGAGGTCCTCTTAAAAGAGCTACAAATAAAAGTTACCACAGTAATTCTTTATCTTGATGTGGCCTCAAAATTGCTAGTGTTGGATGTTGTAAAGAGTTAAAAAGCAATAGAGTAAGTAGTGACATTATTGAGATCATATATTTGCACTGGTATCATGAATGAAAGAACTGTCCTACTGTTATGTTGAGTGAGTACTCGTGGCTTGAAATAAAATTTCTAGTATGCTACTATAAACCTATTCAAAAAGTGCCGTGTCTCAGTTGACTTATAGGTGAAGATAATATGCTCTGGAAAACAGATAATTTAAAAAGTAGATCTAGTGATGACAAAGACACTACTATTGAAGATGCCTGTGAAGATTTTGAGTAATTAGTCCCAAACGTAATTTTTTAAAATCTTTGTATTAGAAAGTTATATTTGGGGTTGCCATTTTTCAAGAATAAGTAATATTTAGTTCTTTAAAAGTAAGTGGAACTGTTGCACGAGGTGAGCTTTAAGATTTTTCTCTTACTTTCAAAGCCTGGAAATAAATCTAATGAATGCTGTGTAGTATAGTCAGATTTTATGACATGCCCCATTAGCCCTTAGCTGATCTATTTCTGTATCTTAGCAGTGCTTCCTTCATTTTCAATTGTCCACATAGGAGTAAGGTTAAGCCGGATATTTGCCAAAATATTACACTTGATAAAAGTAATATTTTTGTTTAGGTGACAAACAGCATGTTTGGTGCTTCAAGAAAGAAGTTTGTAGAGGGGGTCGACAGTGACTACCATGATGAAAACATGTACTACAGCCAATCTTCTATGTTTCCACATCGGTCAGAAAAAGATGTAAGTTAATCAGTGACATTGTGTTTACTCAGCAGTGTGTGTCTGTTGTGGGTTTCTGAAAAGCAGCATATGAACTGTAGAGTACTGTCTTAGGCAGAATGACTGTTTTATGTGTAGTGCTAGGCCCTAAGGACATAAAGATGAGGAACTTACATTCTAATGGGCAAGATATAACTACTGTACCTATGATTGTCAAGTTGGGATTTGGTAATACTGAAGGAAGTGCTCAAACATAGAGGGTAAACATGGATCATCAATTTTTTTTTTTCTTTTTTAGTTGGAAAAGTAACTTGTTATTTTTATATTAAAACAAACATAGATACAGGGTATAAAGCATATTTGAACACATTTAAAGATAAGACTTCAATAAAACTTTACCTTGTGTAATCTTCTAGCTATAATCCTAAACTTCAAGTAGAGCACCTCTCCAAGCTATTAGGGATGCTGCAGTAGAAAAGTTATTAAGGAAGTGTATTCAGAATATGAAAACAATATATTATTGAGATGTGAATTAGTGTTTCAGAAGACTAGTAGTTCTGTAGAAGTCCCTGGATGGCACAAATGGTTAAGCACTTGACTACTAGCCAAAAGGTTGGCGGTTTGAACCTACCCAGAGGCACCTGGGAAGACAGGCCTGGCAATCTGCTTCTGAAAGGTCACAGCCATTGAAAACCCTGTGGGGCAGTCCTACTCTGCACGCATTGAGTTGCCACAAGTCACAATCTACTTGACAGCAACTAATAACAACAACAGTAGTTCAGTAATTCCATTAGAAATAAAAGGATTTAGTACAAAGCCACATCACACTTAGTAAATTTATAAAATATTTTAAAATGAATTCAATTGTCACCATTTTCAGACTCTGGTAAGTTACTTTAAATTACACCCTATAGTTTGTAGTCAAGCCAGTTGCATCCTTACGCTTTGTACCTGCCCAACTTCTTTTCGTTTGAAACCTTTGTAAACTTGCTGTTCCAAATTCCCCTAGCTTTGTAAACAGTCTAGCTATTAATCTAATGAGATTCTTACTGATGTTTAAAGCACCTATAAAGTTCTAAGATATGTAACAAATGCCCTTATTTTTCTTTAAAGTTGATATTTAGTAAACCAATTCTTATGCTTTATTTAGAAGTTTACAAATTAGCTTAACCTAGGTTTACTTTTTTTTTGCTATTTAGATGCTCACCTACCCCTCTTTTTTTTAATTTGACATTTATGTCATGTGGCAACAAATTATCAATTGCATTATTAGGGCCGTCTTCCAATTAAGTGTGGTGGCTTTCTTTATAATTAGTGTGTAGTCTAATAGCTGATGGAATCATGTCATTTAATCAATTTGCTTTTATCTTACTGTCCTTCCAGCTATTTAACATAAATTATAATTGAATTATTCTTTATGCATGCTATCTGTTTAAGTGCTGATCTTATAGGTAAAGAATCTGAAATGTCTTCAGCATCACTGCAGAAACTATAAAACAAATCGTGTGTGTGTGTGTGAATGAATGTGTATTGCTGTGATTGTATAGTGACTATTAAGCTCGATGCAAAAGTTGTAGTGCGATATTTTTGATTGATTAAAAAGTATTCTAATTAGGAAGACATGAAACTTTCAAACTGAAATCTGAAAGTATGTGTGGGGAATGAATGACATAGAGATGTAGTCTGTCTTCTGGTAAGCAGACATACTGGCTGAGTGAGGTTTTTTTAAATCAGAATTATTATATACACTCACACATGTACATATATGTATTGCTTATCATTCAAATCTAGTTATTTGTCACAGAAATAACAGAATGATTTGCTCCACAAAACTTTTTTTTTTTTTAATACGTTAAAAAGACAATATGGCATAGGGATTAAGGAATTTGAACTCTAAAGCAATACAGATACATGTTTTCATCTTGGTTTTGCCTATTAGCAACAACTTCTCTAAGCCTTAGATTCTTCCTCTGTAAAATGGGTATACTAGCTACTGCATCAGTTGCTACTGCTGCTCCTGAAACTTTTTTCTTATTATAAAATAACACAAGGGAATTATACAAACTTTAGAAAATTTAGATGGGCGGAGAAGAAAAATTACCCATAATCTTACCAGTCGGTGATAACTTATTCCTAAAACTTTGATTCTATAGTTAAAATATTTCATGTATATATGTTAATATTTAAATTCTCTAGGACATTTTGACATATTTTCCTTCAAAAAGTTTGTGCCAATTTTACTCTCATCAGCCGTCCCCATACCATCGATAACGCCAGCTATTACCTTTAAGTCCTTGCCAAGAGATAAAAAAAGCTTAATTGTTTTAATGTACATACATTAAAACATCACTAATTTTACACACACACACACAGACACACAGACACACACACACACACAGTGATATGTTTTTTCCGTATATTTATTGGCCATTTGTATTTCTTCCTTTATGGATTACCTGTTTTTATGCCACCTTGTGTTTCTCTTTTTGAGATAGTAAGTCTTGTTTTTGAATTAGTAACTTCTTGTCATTTGTTAGAAATATTTTCTGTTTTTTCACTTTAAATTTAGTTTATGGTTATCTGTGATATACAAATATTTATAATTTATACTGAATGTGATCTGGTAGTCTTTTTTTTTTTTTTTGGTGGTTTCTGTTTTTGAGATCATGCTTAGTAGAAAGACCTTTCCCAACTACAGGATATTTAACTATTTTACCTCTGTTTTCTTCTAGTACTTTTATGTTTCATTCTTCACATGTAATTTGCATCCATTAGAAATGTATTGTGGTTTAAGGTGTGAATTGTATGGTACCAGATTTTTTTTTCCCCTATGAGGTTATCCAGTTGCCCCAACATCACTTATAAGTTAGACCAGGGGACAGAAAATTTTTCCATAAAGGGCCAGATAGTGAATATTTTAGGCATTGTAGGTCAAGGGGCAAAATAAAGGATATTATGTAGATATTCATATAATCAGTGAAAATGTTAAAAGCATTCTTAGTTTACTCACTTTATGAAAACAGGCAGTGTGTTGACTTTGATCTGCAGGCTCTGTGTTGTTTGACTACCCTTGAGTTAGATGATTCATTCTTGGCTAATATCTCCCTTAATATATACTAATGTCTGATGTATTCTTGAGCCTGTTTCTAAACTGTTTTGTTGTTTATCATCCTGATTTTATGTCAGAACTACAACGTTTTAAATTACTGTAGCTTTATAGACCATTTTAACATCCTAGGTAAAAGTCTTCCCCATAATTCTTTATAAAAATGTTTTTGACTATTGCACATTTATAGCAGTATTGACATATTGACTCTTCAGAAGGATATCTTTTTTTTTCTTATTCTTTATGCCTTTTAATAAGTAGAGTTTACAGTTGACATTTTCATTGCGTTTTTCTGACTGATTTTTACTGATACGTAGGATAGTTTGTGGGTGTATTTATAATCAACTACCTTGTGAACCAAACCTGTTGTTGTCAAGTCGATTCCGACTTACAGCAACCCTGTAGGACAGAGTAGAACTGTCCCATAGGGTTTCCAGGGAGCAGCTGATGTATTCAAACTGCAGACCTTTTGGTTAGCAGCCAAGCTCTTAACACTGCACCAACAGCAGTTTGAATCCACCAGCCAGTCCTTGGAAACCCTGTGGGGCAGGTCTACTCTGTCTATACGATCGCTGTGAGTCGGAATTGACTCAACCGCAGTGGGTTTTTACCTTTTGAAACATGTATTAGTTCTTGATTGAAAATGTGGGCTCTGGAAATCCTATTATCTGAGTTCATATCCCAGCTGTAAGATTTACTTGTCCTTCAGTAAGTTAGTCTGTGTGTCTTAGTTCTTCTCATTTGTAAACTAGGAATAGTAATACAGTAAAGCCTGTGAAAGCCAGAACCTGTGTAAGGCGGAAATCTGTCAGGGTAGGAAAACACAAATATTTTTCCACTAATAGAGAACATAGAAAAGTGGTAAGATTGCAACTTGTCAAAGGTGGAAAACTTACGAGACCTGGAAAAACAAGGGAGTCCCGTTAAATTCTGGCTCTCAAGGGTTTCACTGTATGTGACTCATGGGTGGTTGTAACAATTGAGTATTTGTGTGTAAAGATTGAGTATTTGTGTGTAAAACTTTTAGAAGAACAGATAGTAAATGTTTAGAGTTAAATGTAAATAAATCAGAATATAAAGAAATTGAATTAAATGTTAAATCTTTTGATAGGAACTTTCTAAAACCTCTTAAACTTGTTTGTATACATATAATCTCCAAACTCAGTGCTTAAAGCCTAGATATAAAAACCCAAAAACCTACTGCCATCGGATTGATTCTAACTCGTAGTACCCTATAGGACAGAGTAGAACTGCCCCATAGGGTTTACTAGACTGTAATGTTTACGGGAACAGACCGCCACATCTGCTGCTGGAGCGGCTGGTGGGTTCGAATCACTGACCTTTCAGTTAGCAGTTGAGTGCATAACCACTGTGCCATTAGGGCTTCTTCTAAGTATAAAAGAGAATTATGCAATGATATATCTATAAAATATATCAAATTTTGATGTATCTCTAAAAATAATTATAAAATGTTTAATAATAATCATTAAAACAGTGAGAAAATACTATTTCATTCCTATGAAATTGCAAGGATTTTTTTTAGTGAAAGAGAATAGCTGGTATTGAAGTGACTCCTGTGGGAATGTAATTAGTAAGGCTTTGTAGAAAACAGTTTAGCAATATATATTAAAAGCCTTTAAAATGTGAACATTCCTTAAATCAGTCATACGCTGTTCTGTAAATTTGTACTTTGGGTCTAACCTAAAAGTCTGATAATGTAGTATAAAAATGTTCATTACTGTACTTTTTAAAAGTAAAAAAAAATGTTAATCTTAAGTGTTCAATACTAAGGAATTAATTATAATGAATATTTCTGCATATATTATAACACTATTTTTTAATGTTCCTTTTGAAAACTTAAGAATATTTTAATCAAATTACTTGAAATACCTAGTAAACTCATAGTTTGTTAGTTATCTGATTCATAAACTACCAGATCCTGTGACTTAATTGACTTGTATTTTTCTGCCTGCCCCTTTTCTCTTTTGATGTTTTTAATGTATATATTATTTTCCTGTAGTCTTCTTTTTGTGCCTGTTTGCTAGATTTCATTCTGATTTCATTTTTTAATCATGTATTTTTAATTTTGAAATATTCTTCAAATTTATGTATGTGTGTGTATGCAGATGTGCAGATAAACAAACATGCTTTCTTCCTTTCTCTTTGTCTCTCTTTTTGTAGATATGATACAGTCAAAAATCATATTTACTTTTTATATCTTTTCCTGGAATAATAAGTAATGCTAGGAATTATATCATGACCTTACCTTTAAGTATATTGTACAATGAATTTTTAAAGAACATTTTAAAATTTAAATATTTTATTTTTTAATAGCTTTTGTGGTCAGAAATTTTTATTTAACAAAATTTTGTTACATTTTAAAGCCATTTATTCTTACGTAGGAAATAATTTCTTGACCAAACTGCTTTAAATGTTTCTTAAAATAGATTTTGTGATTAAGTACATTCATTGGAGGGAATGATTGTGAGAGGTGATCACTACTAGGAAGCATGAGGGAGATAGAAGACTTAATTAACACTTCCGTAGTTATGGAGAGTTGGCAGGAGCCAGTTTTGGTTACTGTTAAGTTTTTCAAATGTACATTTTTCTTTAAAACAAAAATATTTAGACACCTTTTTTTTGTGGGGGGAGGTTATTGATTTTAGAATTATATCTAGTAGCAGTGGAAGTAATTTTAAAAATACAGTTGTTTCTGACTTGTTGATTTTCTTAACTTTCCGTATATTAAAGTATTAGGAGGTGCTTCGGAGCCCTGGTGACGCAGTGGTTAAGAGCTCAGCTGCCTGAATTCACCAGCCACTCCTTGGAAACCCTATGGGGCAGTTCTACTCCGTCCTATAGGATTGCTATGAGTCAGAATCGACTCGACGGCAACGGGTTTGGTTTGTGGTTTGGTTTTGGTGGGTCAGGGAAATAAGTGGAATCACACTACTAATTTCTGTAGTTGGCTTCCTGGTTCAGAATCAACTCAACAGCAGTGGGTTTGGTTTTGGCATTTTTGTTTGACCGCAGTGTGTGTTATAGATTTCTTGAATGATGAGGAAAATAAATAATTGTTGGTTTTAGACTGAAAACGCAGTAACCTAGTTGTTGGTCTCAGCATTCTACTGTTTGTGTGACATTTAATTTTTTTTTTTTTTTTAAACCATGTTTTGCCTCTAAGAACTTGAGTTCTACTCCTTATTTTTCCTGGAATTTGTGAAGATAAACACCTTTCTTTAGTTCCTTTGGCCAAAAGTTATATAAATTTAGAGTATTATTTAATAAATTCCTCAGAGGCTAAATCCCCCTCTGATTGCCTGCTGTTAGTGAATTCTTGCATGCAGAAGATTAGATTATTAGCAGCTACTGCTACTACCATTTATTGAGCACCTACTGTGTGCCATATCTTATCTCATTTAATCTTCACTCAACTGTCTGAGGTAGGTAGTGTTATTTCCATCTTACAGGAAGGAAACTGAGGCTCTGTCTGTGGTCCCATAGGTAAGTTGCAGAACCAGAATTTAGTTTAAATTTTTTCCGACTCCAAAGCTAGGTTCTTTCTTCTTAAGCTGCATAATGTACTGTGGTGTATTTCTGGACCCAAAGTTCTGTATTTTTCTAAGAAATTCACTTTTTTATTAACTTTCAGCATTTAAAAAATTTAGATTTTCTCTTATATGTTAACTATAGCCATTACTCTGCCAGTGTACATTTCTTATGCATTTTCTTTGCCCTTGTGAATGGCATTTTTGTCCCAGTTACATTCCTTTGTGTGTTAAATCTATTTTTAGCAATCATTTAGTTCATGAGCCATGTCTTCAGGGTATATCATAGGGATAGATTTTATATGAAATCATATGTTTGCATTTTTGGCATTTTGAGGCAATCACTTAACATCTGTCTGTATAGCTAATTGATCAATGCTTATTTCACATGGATGTTTTGAAGGCTATAAACTCTTCAATTTAACATTGAACTACTTTTTTATGTTCCTCTAAAACTGTTCACTAACCTTTTTCATGTAGTGGCATATATAGAAAATTATAATATTTATATATCACACTGTGATCACTTCACTGCTCTTGGTCCAAGTATTTTGCCAGGGGAGCAATACCCGCTCTATCTTCATACAGTGCTTCCCTCCCATACTTACTTCCTCAGTACTGAGAGGGTTGATGACTTGGCATGTCTATAACTTCTTTGTGAATGTATGACCTTTATAGGAAAGTAGACTAAGATGTCTGTTCTTTGGAGTTAAGTATTCAGTAAATATATACGTTTCTGGGAAAAGTAAAGTTTTAAGTGATCCATTCTAAAATGCTTGCATTATGGATCATTGAAAGTCATGTACTCATATTGGCCAACGTTTTATATTTGAAGCATTTAGAAACAACTATACTGTTACTCTCATTTATGGTTTATAATGATAATGGAAGATTCTTAAACATTTTATATAAACCTTTCACTTTTTATCACCAACTAAAGCCTCATTATATATCTCCTTTGAAATTGTTCTTGCAATTTGGAAATGAACCTGTAATGTGTTTATGAAGTAGTTACAGTTATGTGGTAATGGTAATGACTATAGTACCTAATAGAAGGACTTGATCAGGCATAAAATGCTTACTAATTTGATCCATTGGATTGTATTTGATAAAGAGTATATAGTTTGAATGCTTGTTTAATTGTCTAGATTATATACCCCCTGAATTTGAAAAGGAATATTTACAAGATTTGATACTTTTTATAGAAAATACTTTACTGTGTTATAAAATACTTCTGTGTTTAGAGTAACTCAGACCTACCTCAGGAGCGTCTGATGTGCATCAATAGTTAAAAACTACTGTTTTATTAAAAATTTAGTCTGCTTCAGAATAATTAAAACAACTTAGAATTTTGACATGAAAATGGCATGAATGTGTGTTGTGAGACGTTCACTGTTTTAATGTTTCTCTTTCTTGCTTTTCCCAAAGTAGTCAATGTCAGCATGATTCTCCTTCATTGGAAACCACGGAATGACCTGTTATAGTTCCCTATCTGGTGATTTCCCACACCCACGGAACCCCCTTGCCTTATGCCCCAGCCGGTTAAACTGGACACCAAATACTGTTGCTTCTGTCACAAAATGCCTCTCCTTTCTAGTCCCGCTTCTGCTGTTTTAGTTCAGTATCTCACCTTTTCCATCCATTTCTGCTTTTGGAATTATCTTCCCAAAGCCCAGTTTGTGTTACTTCCTTGCTTGAAAATTATGTTTTTTCTCTTCTTTGCCATAGTTGGTAGCCATTTCTGTATAACATTCAAGAAGACCCTTTACAGTCTTGCCCCAACATTCTCTTTTATTTATCCCCTAATATGCGTAGGGGTGAGCCCTATTCCCTTTGCCCAGTTACCCTATTATCCAGACCACTGTTTTGTATTTTATTTCCTAATCATGTCATTAACTTCTCTTATACTTACATTCACTGCATATTCTCAGCCTGGAAGAAGCTTCATTTGTATCCACATCAGTGTCACCACTCTATGAAGTGTTCCTAATACCTCATCCTTGTTCAGGATTATCTTTCTCCAGTGATGCTTTATACTTCCTTTAGAGCATCTACCGTACTGTGTCTGTGGTTATAATTAGTTATATAATTCCTTTGCTTCCCCCACTATATTATAAGCCTCTTGATGACATCCTTCATGTTTTATTTAAGGGTTTTTTCATGGTTTTCTAATATAGACAGGGAATACACATATGTACACACATATACATTTTGATTTACTCAGCTTAAGTATCTACTTTATAGCTCAGTGCTAATCTCTATGAGGAAAATATAACATTGAATATAACATGTTTCATGAATATAACATGCCTTCAAAGACTTTATATTCTACTAGGAAAAAGAAGACATGCAAAAAATTTAAAGGCATTATGCAACAAATATTATGAAATTCACATCAACAGTGTACTTTATATGACATGTCTATATATTTTTCTAAGTGTTTTTAACCTGTGTTTTGCTATTTGTATCATCTCCCCATTTATTATGTAGTTGTATGTTGGATAGGTTTTTCTACCTATTTGATACACGTCGATTATTTGTGTATAATAATCAGGAAATATTCTTATAAAGTACACAATTTTTTTTATTTAAGTACTTTTCAACTTTAGTAAGCTGAATTTAGAATTTAGCTTAATATTATTTACAAATCAAGTAATTTCACTTAAAAATTTATAGACTTTGAGATAGTCTTCATGTTTTTGTTAACCTAGTGTTTTTTTTTTAAGTGAAATAATAGTGCTGCTACAGTTTTCATTTAGTGTAACTTTAAAAACCTTTATAGTAATTAAAAATTAAGAAACAGGAATTTATTATGTAATAAAGTGAAAAATGTGGATTTGAATCTCACACGTTGTAGTATGATGTACAGATGGTAACGTACTAATACAATGCTGTGTGTACTTTCTTTATGCTCTAATATAATTAATTTGTTTCTAGATGCTGGCATCACCATCTACATCAGGTCAGCTGTCTCAGTTTGGGGCAAGTTTATACGGGCAACAAAGTAAGAATTTTATGTTTATTCTGGTATACTTTATTTAAAGAGAAAAATACATAACTATCAAAGAAAAAACAACCAGTGCTTCCTATGTGGGTTTATTCTAGGGTTTAAAAGAAAACATTTAATTTTCAGAGTTTCCTTATTTCGTTTATATAGCAAAATGTCATTATTTCAGACCTTAACTAAACCAAATTTGCTATTATTGAATATAGGATAGTTTGATATCTATTTCTACATCTTTTGTATTTTTGATGTTCCTTTGTAGTATTTTTGAGGATGCATTTCCTAATAAATTAAAAGTAGATATGCTCTATGTTTTCAGTTAGAGGAAGTTAAAGGTTTTTGATAGGTTGGTTGGTTAGGTTGTTTGTGTTTTGGGACAATTTATGAATGTAAGACCATTGCTTAGCAACAGTTTGTGAAATATTCTCTTTGTTTTAGCAAGTAGTTCTTTTGCTTTAGCTCAGTCTAGGTATAGAATCTAGATTTTTTTTTGACTCACAGTCAATGCTTTTTCCATTACACAAGGTTCTTTTTAAGTATTGTAATACTTTTAAAGTACTTAGCCCAGTGCCTGGCGCATAGTAAGCTCTCAATAAATTTTAGCTATTATTATTACATAAAATTTTTATAAAACTCTAAATTATTAAAAAAGATTTTTTAAAATTAATTTTCCTAATTGTTATATATTAATAAGGTTTTATCATCTCTGATAATGTCATGTATGTGGGAAAGGAGTAAAAATGTTGTTAAGTTCCCATCAAAGATTATAGAATAACGGAATAACTGGAAGAGACAATCTGATAGTTGACAGTTTTAACCAGCTTCAAATAAAAATTAGTTATTTTACTTGGAACTCTTTTCTAGTTTAATAAAAGCAAAAATTTGATAGGTATCAGAATAGTTTGTCATACCACTTTATCCTTCAAGTTGATTTTGAAGTTTAGTATGGGAAAGAAACTAATTTTACAGATAAGCAAAGTTACCTTGTACTTTTTTCTATCTTTTGTGACTTTCCTCTTGTGCATGGAACACAGTTTTGTTAATACAGATTTAGTAAATAAAATTTACTAATTGCTTGTTAATATTAGCAATTTTCCTTTGGTTAAGCAGAAAAAACAAGTATTTTTTAAAATTTTATTACATTTAAAAAAGTGTTTCTTCTTTATCCTCAAATGTTCATTTTAGTTATGGAAGGCATATTATCAGCTAGTAGTTTGTCCCATGTAGCCTGTGTTCTAGCATGGACTTCCACCTTTCTAACCTGTAACTGTGAAAATTGTAATTGGGTTAAGATGCAAAATGTATTAGATTCGAAGTAAAGTTACGTCATTTGAATGATAGACACTTAATGACTTGTGCAACTCATTATGCTGGTTCTTAAAGATATAATAAGGAAGCCCTGGGGACATAGTGGTTAAGAGCTAAGGCTGCTAACCAAAAGGTCAGCAGTTCAAATCCACCAGGCGTTCTTGGAAACCCTATGGGGCAGTTCTACTCTGTCTGATAGAGTCACTATGAGTTGAAATTGACTCAACTGCATCAGGTTTTGATTTTTTAAAGATATAAAAGGATTAATAAAGTAGCAAGTTATTTTCATTAGAAAAAGTATTTTTAAGGCACTTATTAATTCAGAAAAGTCCATATATGACAAAAGTATTTCCTTTTGGAGCTCAGTATATGAAATGGCTGTATAGGAGTCTCTGGGTAGCACAAGCAGTTAAATGCTCAACCGCTAACTGAAGGATTGGCAATTTGAACCCATCCAGAGGCACCTTGGAAGACGGCCCTGGCGGTCTGCTTCTGAAAGGTCACAGCCTTCAAAATCGTACAGAGCACAGTTCTACTCTGCACACACAGAGTCACCATGAGTTGGAAATAACTCAGCAGCAACTAACACCAACAGCATTTCTATAGCATTGGTGAAGCAACATTCTGAACATTGGACCTAAGACTGTAATGTTTCGAGTCAGAGAACAATTATTCATTTCCAGAGTATAGCTCTAGAAACTGCAACTAATGAAAAAAGACAGAGCCTGGATTGCTGGGCTTTTTCTGGTAGGATAAGCTAGTAGAAGTCATTTAGCTAGTAACCTGAACAAACAGCTTGTCAGAGAGGACACAAGCTATAATGTGGGGCTTTAAGGTCAAAGTTTCAATAGCTTAGGCAAGTCAGAATGATAAAACTTGAAGGACTGACTTTAAGGAAGGATGGGGAGATAGAAGGAATAGGTAAGTTTGAGTAGATTATAGGTGTTATTCTTATGACAGGTTACCTTTATCTAGGATTGTGTTTGGGCATTGAGATTGAAATAACAAAGTTCTTTTTTCCTCCCAAATGCATTGAGTACCACCATTTAACTCTTACTCAAATTCAGATTGGCAAAATTCAGTAGGAATTTATTCCATCAAAATGTGAAGTCTGCTACCTGTTGTGTGTTCTTGATGGTTGGAAATAGTTAGAGGTGGAGGAGATGGGGAAGGAAGAGTGCCCTCTCCAAAACTCAGTCTCCGCTGAGATTAAACAAGGCAGGTAATGGATATAGAACTCCTACATTTTTTTTCTGATTTGGGTGGAAATGATTGTGCAGTGCGCTAGGGTACCCAGAAAATGCTAGACTAGAGATTTCAGTGACCTCAGTTTCTAGTACAGTATGATTGTATCTAAATGCATAAGTAACTTCTCATCTAGGAGTTTATGTGAATACTGTTCATCAGATGATAGAAGCCAGTGACTGTGACCTTATATTCAAGTTGCATGATATTCTCTATCTTCTTTGAGTGTCTGCATAATATTTTAGGCACACCTTATAAGTTTAAAGACCTCTGGGTTCCCAAAGCTGCCTACTAGATTGGGATGAACGGGGAACCAGGGATTAATTTCTCCTGGATATTCAAACCATTGAAGTTGAGTGGTGGTATAGGTGGAGTAAGGAGCCCTCGTGGTGTAGTGGCTAAGTGCTTGGCTGCTAACCAAAAGGTTGGCAGTTTGAACCCACTAACCACACCATGGGCGAAAGATGTGGCAGTCTGCTTCTGTAAAGATTACAGCGTTGGAAACCCTATGGGACAGTTCTACTCTGTCCTGTTGGGTCGCTATGAGTCAGAACTGACTCGATGGCAACGGGTTTGGTTTTTTGTTTTTTTATAATTTGAGTGACTTTTTCTTATTTACTAACAGGATTTAGAGCCTCGGAGGATAAGAAAACTACTGTTTATTGAGTGCTTCCTATATACTTACAGGCTCACAGGTTAGCTAGCTGTCTGGATGATTTCATTATACACATTTGCATCTAAATTCTCATAGGACCTAGGCCTCTAGCTTGGAAAGGAAATAAAGCTCCTTGTTGGTATCTGGACTTCTGGCTTTGAGAGCAGTGGCATAGTCTCATGCTTCCAATAGCCATCCCTTTTGCTTTGAAAACAACCTACGTCAAGGCTGGAGTCCCAGGGTGGTGCAAATGATAAACGTGCTCAGCTGCTAACTGAAAAGGTTGGAGTTGCGAGTCCACCTACAGGCACCTTGGAAGAAAGTTCTGGCGATCTAATTCTGAAAAATCAGCCATTGAAAACCCTATTGAGCACAGTCTACTCTGACACTCATGGGATCTCCGTGAGTTGGAATACTCAACAGCAACTGGTTTTATGCAAAGGCTACTTGCTTTGTGGGGAGTTAGAGCATAGGTAGGGTGGGGGTGCTGCTGTTGACAGTGTAGATAGGTGAGTGGCAAATTTTGGTAGCTTCAGGAAATCACGGGGCCATTTAACAGACACTTGAATTAGTAGCTATATACCAGATGCTCTAGAGGTTCTTGCTTTCAAAGAGCACATGGTATGTTTGGAGAAGACAAGACATTATATGTAATATATTAAATAATGGCCTACAATGCCTAATACATAGGTTAAAAGGTATCATGTATCGAGTGGTATGGACATAACTTTTAGGGTTTTGGGAGAAAAACACAGTCTTCGTAGTACCAAAATAAATAAACCAAACCTGTTACCGTCCAGTCAGTTCCGACTCAAAGCGATCCTGTAGGACAGAGTAGAACTGCCCCATAGGGTTTCCATGGCTGTAAATCTTTCCGGAGGCAGACTGCCACATCTTTCTCGTGGAGAGCAGCTGGTAGGTTTGAACCGCCGACCTTTCGGTTAGCAGCCAAGTGCTTAACCACTGCACCACCAGAATTCGTAGTATTATAGGACAGCTTCAAAAAAGGAGATAGGAATTTAACAGTTACTTATTAAGTACCTGCTGTATATACTGTGCCATGCTAGATACTGCAGATGTATGATAGAAGAGATGTTTGTGCTATCTCTGTACTGTGTACTTGCTTGAGCAGCTGTACGCATCTTTTATTTATTACACGTCTTCATTGTCTTTGTAGCCTCAGTGCCCTGCAAATGGCATGTACTCATTAAATGTTTGAATGCGTGATAAGCAAGACACAGTCCTTTATATAATCTAGTAGGGAAATATAACAAATACACAAATTATTTTAGTACAGAAGAAGTGTAGGAAGTGCAGAGTTTTCTGGATATTTTGTAAATGGGAGTAATCACATTTCTTGGAGAATAATTAGAAAAGAATTCACAGATGAGGTCATGTTTGAGATTGGCCTTAAAGAGATAGATTTGGGAGTTGGTCTAGTTTGTCAAGACGGGAGAAGCGTATTAGGCTGTTACTTGGTTTCAGCCTAGAAGCACAGTCTTGACGTTTTGGAGGGATATATCTCAAGATGTTTGCCACTTTCAGTACGCAAGAACACTTGATATAGTATAAAGCTTTCCCCTATAAAGCATCTTTTTTCTGGTGAAAACTGTTGCTTCATCAGACTACTTCATTTTACATTCACCTTTAGGACCACTATTTGCTGTCTCTGGATAGGCATGTTTCACAAAAACAAAGTAAAGCAAAAAAATAATATTTGAGTATTTAGTATGTGTCAGATGCTATTTTAAGTACATTATATGAATTAACTCATTTAATCTTCATAACAGTC